CTGTGGACAGCGGCGGTGATGGGCCCGCGCAAGAAGAAACGGAGGGCGAGATCATTGACAGGGGTCTGGGTATTCTCCTCGCTTGCTCCTCCCTCCCTGGTCGGGTCTGCTGCGGAACCTGGTGTCATCTCATGATGCCCTCCCATCTCACGGGTTGCCTCACGGGCTGACAATCGAAAGAGGACCAGTCGAGACGACATCGGTTCTCCCTGGCGTTTTCGTCCTGGGCCTTTCTGCAGGCTTCTCGTCGCCATGGCTGGATGCGCATCGAAAAACTGGCTAGCCTGGACCTCGGGAGGGCCACCGGGGACCGACCTCGAGCGGATTCGGGCGGGGAGCGATGGGCCGCCGTTGCCTCAGCTGGCTCTTCTCCGATGACGGTCTCCTTGCGTGCCCCTCCCCGGGAGGGTCTGCTGCTGCTCCCGATGTCATCCCAGGGTCAAGCAGCCGCGTGTGCAGTGGGAGCCCGACCACGAGAAACCTTCAACAAGAACCCCAACCATGAGACCCCAGGACGTCCATCGATTCTCGGTGTGGGAACGTCACGCTGTCCACGGCAAAACCATCGAAACCAAAGAAGCCCGGGGCACCCTGGAGGCGAGCAGGGTGCCTCTTGGCGTGGGCCCCCAAGGTAAACCCTGCAGTTCCGAGATGCTGGCTGGGGGTTAGAAGTGGAGGGGTGTCTGCAGCCAGGCAAACCCCAGCGGGGGCGCACGAAACCCCAGCGTCGACGGCCCCCTTGCGGGCCGACAGAGCCATCGAGAATATATATATATATATATATATATCGCCGATAGACCGGCGGCGAAGGCCTCGATGACGAAGCAGCCCGTGCCCGGCAAAGGAGCGCTACGGGCCTCGGAAGGTATCAGCGAACACTCATGCCGCATTCCTCTGCCAAATGCCCCCCCCCCAATGATCCATGTTGGCGGTGGTTTGAATGAGCTGCACTTCGACCGCAGTCTTCCCCGCGCGTGACAACTTGGAATTTGGGCGCGCGGGGGAATATCCACACATTGGTTCCGTCTACCGTACCCATCGGTCGGAAGAAGTAGGTAGAAACATGAAGTAGGAAGGCGTTGAAAGTAGATTGGGTCTCCGCCCGCCCCCTGAAGAGGAGTGAAGAGGGGAAGCCACTCGATAAATGAAGTAGGAACGCGCTTAAAGTAGATTGAAATCTGGGAATCCAAAAATACCTACTTTCGACGACCGATGGGTATCAGGCCTCTGTCGGTAAGCAATGGGCGACTGGGGTCGGTGCAGTCGCCCCTGAGCCTGGGCTCCGTCCCCAGCGGCTTTCGGGCCACAGCTCGGACCTCCAGCGGCACGCGACAACTTGGAGTTTGGGCGCGCGGGGGAGTATCCACACATTGCTTCCTTCTGCCGTCTCAGGCCTCTATCGGTGAGCAATGGGCGATCGGGGTCGGTGCAGTCGCCCCCGAGCCTTGTCTCCGTCCCCGGTGGCTTTTTCGGGCCGCAGCTCGGACCTCCGGCAGCCGCTCGGGGGACAGTCCAGGCACCCCCTGGAGACGTCTCTCGGCGGGGCGCAGCCGCGGGATGACACCCCCTACGCTCCGAGAGAGCACCTTGACGTCACCCTCAGCCGTGACGCTACTGTGGAAGACAACCTCAGGAAACCTTCGAATAACACCTTACAGTCGGGGCGTTGACCTAAGGAACCCTAAATAAGGAACGAAGCCACTTTGTTTCATGAGTTAACCTTCGGCTTGCCACCAAAAACTTCAGGAAAACATTGGGCAAGGTGTGGAACAAGTAAGGAACACCGAGCCCCTCCCCAACGAAAAGGGCTCCTTCTTCGGCGCCCCGACCGTACCCTCAACGCTGCCCCGGACGCCAGCTGCACCCAGAGCTGGGCAAGCAGCAAGCGTGCCCGGGGGCGGCTACGTCCGCGCTTGGCGGCCGTTCGCGCTCTCGCGCCGCCCCCCCCGGGGAGGGGGAGGAGGAGGAGGAGGAGGAGGAGGAGGAGGAGGAGGAGGAGGAGGAGGAGGAGGAGGAGCAGGAGGAGGAGGAGGAGGAGGAGGACGAGGAATCGCGACCCGCAAACCACGAAGGTCCTTCGCGCCCCCGCGGCGGCCCTTTTGGGTTCCCGTCGGCGACAGGGCAGGAGGAGGCGCCCACGGGCGCGGCGGGTCAGGGCCAGCGAACGGGCACGAGGCAGGAGAGGCACGCGGAGGACGAGAACGAGGACGAGGACGCCGACGAGGACGAGGACGCCGACGAGGACGCCGACGACGACGACGACGACGACGACGACGACGACGACGACGACGGGCGGGACAGAGGCCGCCTTCGATCACAGATCGAGCCCTATGTCTAAAGGAAAGGGGTCGCCCCTGGGGTGGCGGTAGTCGAGACATGCAGGCGCTAATAAAGAAAGAGGCGGATGAGGAGCGGGATGGGGGGGAGGAGGTAGAGGAGACTGACGCAACGACTCATCCTATAAGAGTCGGTGCAACGTCAGAAAGGAGGAGGAGGAGGAGGAGGAGGAGGAGAAGAAGGAGCGGGAGGGGGAGGGCGAGGCGGGGGAGGACCCTGAGATCCGACGTGGCGACAACATTGCAACGTCGTGAAAAATCCGCCGACCCGGCGTGTGAGTTTCTGAGAGCGTGGGCTTGAGCTCGCTCAAGCTTCGCTCTGTGGGGGGGGGGGGCCTGACGCCATGGCTTGCTGACGCCATTCAGGCCCGGGAAGGGGGTAATTAGGGGGCGGGCAGCTCGCTCAAGCTTCGCTTTGTCGGGGGGGGGGCGGGAGGGAGAGGGGGGGGGGGGACGCCATGGCTGACGCCATTCAGGCCCGGGAGGAGGGAGTCGGGGGGGGAGGGGGGGGGGCTGACGCCATGGCTGACGCCATGGCTGACGCCATTCAGGCCCGGGTGACGCCATTCAGGCCCGGGAGGGAGGAGGACGGGGGACAGGCCTTGACGCCTTGACGCCATTCAGGCCCGGGAGGAGGGAGTCGGGGGGGGAGGGGGGGGGGCTGACGCCATGGCTGACGCCATTCGGGAAGGCCCGGGTGACGCCATTCAGGCCCGGGAGGGAGGAGGGGGGCGAGCCATGGCTGACGCCATTCAGGCCCGGGAGGGGGGAGGGGAGAGCTGACGCCATTCAGACCCGGGGAGGGGGGGGAGGGGCGGGGAGCTCGCTCAAGCTTCGCTCTGTCGGGGGGGGGGGGGGGCTGCGCCATAGCTGCGCCATTCAGGCCCAGGAGGGAAGGAGGCGGGGGGGACGCCATGGCTGACGCCATTCAGGCCCGGGAGGGGGGGGAGGGGGGGGGGGGGCTCGCTCAAGCTTCGCTTGTCGGGGGGGGAGGGGGCTGACGCCATCAGGCCCAGGAGGGGGGAGAGTGGGGGAGATTCAAGCCCGGAGGAGAGAATCGGAGGGGGGGGGGACGCCATGGCTGACGTCATTCAGACCCGGGAGGGGGGAGGGGGAGGGGGAGCTCGCTCAAGCTTCGCTCTGTCGGGGTGGGGGGAGGGGGCTGACGCCATATCTGACGCCATTCAGGCCCAGGAGGGGTGAGGGGGGGGAGAAGGGCTGACGCCATAGCTGACGCCATTCAGGCCCGGGAGGAGGGAGGGGGGGGAGCTCGCTCAAGCTTCACTCTATCGGGGGGGGGGGGGGGGACGCGATGGCTGACGCCATTCAGGCTCGGGAGAGGAGACGGGGGGGAGGGCCGACGCCATGGCCGACGCCATTCACGCCCGAAGCTCCACGACGGCCCAAGAAGGGCCCAAGACGGCCCAAGAGGCCCCGAGGCCCCCAAAAGGCCCCCAAGAGATTCAAAAACTTCCTCCAGCGCGCCCCCAAGAAGCCTCCAGGATGCCTCCAAAAAGCCCTCCTGGGAAGCCCAGGGGCGCCCCCCAAAGGGGTCATACATCAGCTACGTCAGCATCCCATGAATTTGGCTGTTCACGCGAGATCGTCACTTCCGAATATCCGAAGGTTGCCCAAGCGAGTTCAACATCTCTCTATCTTATGAGGATGTCTCTCGAGCGAGCGCTCTACTTTGATACATAAAAGGTCATCCGTTGCGAGCAGAGTCGGCAGCACCCCGCATCGGCGGCACTGGCCAGAGGCCACTACAATATCGGCCGCAGCCCCGACCACGTCTTTCTGCATCACCTCCTGCCCGCATCGACCTGTGAGGGCCCAGGAGCCCGAGACCCGGAGGCGACGCCCGCTGCGGACAACGGCTTGGAACGCGCCAGGATCTCTCAGGGAGGGGGGCGAGCGTCGGCGAGGAGCCCTCCCACGATGCCGCCGCGGTGCCGCGCAGCCGCTGCGGGGGAAACGGGAGACCAAAACGTACCGAAGCCGAAAGGACCTTGTCGGCGGCGAGCCCAGGGGGGGAAGCGAGAAGGGCGGGCCTTTTCAGAGGGCTCGGAACGCCCCTTGCCTTCTGGAGCATGTTCGAAGACACAGAAAACCTCCCAGAAGGCTGGAGGCTTTCTCCTTCTGAAAAGCCCCGCCGCCTTCTGAACAGGCCTCCTCCTTCTCTACTCCCCCCTCGCTCGCCGCCGACCTCTACCGGGAGGCGTTCTGACCAGGACGTCGATGAGAATCAGGCCGTGGCGACGAGAGCTCTCCAGGATGAGCAGCGGCATCGGTATGTCGCAGTGTCTTCCTTCCCTGCGAGGTGAGCGACGATCAGAAACGGATCTTACGCGAGATGGCACGGCGAGCCGCCAGCGTGGCGCGCTGCACTGGTAGTGGGGGCGCTCAGGCGCGACCTTGCGCGGGCAGCTGGCGCGCGGAGGTCGGCGCAGTCGAGTCCGCTTTCTCGCGTCGCTCCGACGGGGGGGTCCTCCGCCGCTGCCGCCGCGATGCCACGGGCCGCCACCAGGCACCACGCGCCCGCCGCGGCGGCTCACGCGGAGCCAAGGAGGAGAAGGAGGAGGAGGAGGAAGAGGAGGAGGAGGAAGAGGAGGAGGAGGAGGAGGAGGAGGGAGGAGGAAGGAGGGAGGAGGGGAGGAGGGAGGA